CATCGTCTTGAGGTTATCGTTTAGGCTATCAATGATAGTTGTGTGCTGTTCTTCCAGTTGTTGTATGGTCTTCCATTTATTCATCAAAACTCTCGAAGTCATTTCTTCTGCGGGTCCTTGTCCTGTCTCATGTCCTCATGTCCCTCGCCGTGCCATCTCGTCCCGCAGTCGTGCTTGGATTTCGCTCCCGCTGGTCAGTAGGTATCCCTGGAGTAGTTGGGGTACATGGAGGCGATCTCCGCAGCTTCGACCACCCAGAAAAAGGGTTAAAACCTGCTTTCTCTAGGTTTTCGTTTGTCGCAGTATAGTATTCCAGAGACGCCAAGCGGTCCACGTCTCTGAGATTGCAGTCGCTGTTCGACGACCTCCAGCTGCCGGTATTGGGGCTCCGATCCCCTGCATCGTAACGGTTGATCCCGAGGGATCTTCCATCGTGGGTTTCGTTTCGGGGTCACCTTCCCCTAGCGTTTTTACGCTGTCGCTTGCGTCTGGATTTGGTCCACGGGTGGTATTTTATTTCCCACCTACCCTCCGGCGTGGCCGGTAAGAGCATTCCCCGATCCGCCACCTGGGACGCGTCCGATAGACCAGCTACTCCCACGGAATTATTATTATTATTATTATTATTATTATTATTGTTATGGATACTTTTAATTCATCTGGAAAAGTTCCCTCATTTATGCTTGAGTTGATAATTTTCATTATAATTGGTTTTGAGTTGCTGTTCAGTTTTATATCTCTTATAGCTATTTTGTCAAATCCTGGAGCTTTATTACAGTCCATCCCTTTAATTAAAGAACTAGTTTCCTCTAATGTTACTTCAGGTAAGTAAAAAGAGTTACTCTGTGTTATTACGTTTTTTGGCAGGACTGCTACATTACATTTATGTACAATGTCCTCCGTCTGTTGTTGAAAAGTGATAGCAAATCTTTCTACTATATGTTCAATTGAGTTACTTTTCCCTAAATTTTTTATTATGACTTCATCTAAAGTTTTTTCTCTGGTACACCAAGTAGTTTATTTATTGTTTTCCAAGTGTTTTTAATGTTTTTTTTAAGGTCGCATCAACTACTAGGTCATTAGCGACCACTATTGCTGGTAACGGTATGGTAACAGTGGGTTGACACGATAATGATGATGATGATAGGGGGTGAAAGGACGAAACACAATACAACCATGCCCGAGGCGGGACTCGAACCCGCGATCCTTCGGTCCGAGTTCGCTACGGCACTACTGCCTTAGCGATCTCGGCCACCGGATCGGCGTTTTTAATGTTGTTTCTGCTACTTTCAAATAGTTTGTTAAAATATTCTTTCTTTAGGCGCTGGATTTTTTTTGTTATGTCATATCAGATTTTTTTAAAATTTATTCTTAGTGTGTCTTTTAATTCTTTATTTTTTATCAAGATTGAAGAAAATATGACGTGTGGAGTTCCACAAGGGTCCAGACTTGGCCCTTTTTTATGGAATATACTGTATGATGACCTTCCAATGAGTATCAACCTTCCAAGAAATACGCAGATAATAGGATACGCGGATGATACACTAATAAGTCATAGTGACGATATTGAGGTGCTTGAAATAAGAGTGAATGAAGCATTCTATAGAGTTAAAAGACGGCTAGACAGACGACTTCTTCAAATAGCAGTAGGAAAAACCGTAGCTGTATTAATTACCGATCGGAAGGCTTTTCGCTTTCCCGATTTCCGACTGGGAGAAGAGTGAATAAGCTGGAAGCACCAAATAACATATCTAGGGGTTGAGACAGACAGTAGACTTAAGTTTGGGCCACACATAAGTGTGATGGCAGAAAAGGAAGCGTGGACACGGTCCAACTTAGCCAGAATACTACCGAATATATGTGGACCACGAGAAGCCAAGAGAAGGTTGATATCTGGAGTAGTTCATTCACAACTGTTGTATGCAGCACCAGTCTGGGCGAGTTCATTGGAGAAGCAGGTTATGAGAAATAAGTATGCTCAAGAGCAAAGGCCCTGAGCCCATTATTTTGTTGTTCCTTAAAGCCAAAGGCATGTCATATATGTATATAAGGAATAGTGTTGGCCCAAGAATGGATCCTTGCGGGACTCCACAATTTATTATTTGAGGGCAGGAGTAGTACGAGAAGAATTTGTTTTCATTAGTGTGCTGGAGGGCAACTATTTGGCTACGGTTTCATAAATATGATTTCATCCATTGGCCTGCAATGTTTCGAATCTCTAGCATTTCTAGTTTTGTTAAAAGTATATGATGGTCAATAATGTCAAAGGCTTTTGACAAATCTAAGAAAAGGCCAATGGGAATTTCCTTCCGATTTAGTGCAACAAGTATGTCATTTAAAAAGGAGAATTCCAATTTTCATTTTGAGTTTGAGTATTTGCGCTGTATGGTCACTAAACCCTATTATATGTAATAACTGAATAGCTACAATTATTTGTATTATTATTTGATCAATGGCGGTATTGGTTTTTTAAAATATTCTGGTGGGTTGATTTATAATAGTTTGTAAGTTGAAAGATTTAAGTAAATTTTTGAATAGTTTCTCTTCATTTGATTTTGACAAACAGTTTATATTGAAATCATCAAATAATATAATTTTATAGTTTCTGCATCTTTCAAGTTCAACAAGAACATTTTCAAGATATTTTAAGAAAACTATTCGTTTCTTGTGAGGCTATGGTATGTGCATAAAACCCATACTCTTTGTTTCAGTAAGTCTATAATGGATATTTCAGTCTTTTTCTTTTAAGAAAGGAATAATCTGTGACTGAGACATAATTAATAGTATTTTTAACAAAGATGCATGTACCACCATAAGCATGATGTGATTTGTGAATTTCTCTACACAAGCCACTAGCTAGTGTGAAACCTGTACTATCTAGATGTGTTAACCAATGTTCTCTTAAGCATAATATTGTTAAGTATTGTAGGTCTTGTTCAAGTAATATTTCTAAATCTGTGAGCTTGTTTCTTAAAGACTGAACATTTTGATGTAGTACATATATTTGTTTTTGTGCATTGTGAGTTCCCTGTTAAGTGTAGTTGCTACAAGTCGTAGGTTGGAGGTGGTCTATGGTTGCACCGAAATTTGTACGTTGGCTGAGGATTTGGACTAGGAGTTGGGATTTGGATTAGTTGGGATTTGGATTAGGATTTGGACTAGTTGGAGCAGGTGTGTGTGACAGGTTTCGATAGGATCATGAAATGGAGGTGGTGGAGATCGAGATGGTAATTTGAAGGTAGGTGTAAATGGTGGGGATGAGGGGTGGCTGCAAGGCTGGAAAAGAGCTTGGTGTGAAAAGTTGTGTTAAATTGGCACCAAGTTTCTGGTAACCTACCAGTTTTAGGTGGTGACCATGTTTTGTAAATAAGTTCCTTGAGAGTTTGTCAAGATGAAGTTGTGTAATTGGTGTCTCTCTCAAGTGATATTTTAAATGTTTGTTTGCCATTTTAATTTCATTTTTTAAGGTAATGTGCCCGGGAGGGGGCGGGGGCACAGTAGTCATGATTACATTTGTGTGAGTGGCAGTCTCAAGAATTGTTGGTAACGTTCTTCGGGGTAAATTTACTGGCATGATTTATGTCGTTCTGCCCACCTATAATTAGTGTCACGATGTGCAAAGGAGCTGGGATGTGTAAGTGTGAAAGTTTTCAATTACTTGTGCTATCCTGGAATTTGGTTTGAAAACACCAGTAACAGAAAACTTGGAAGAGAGTATCTATCTCACAGTGGAGGAAAAGTTCCTACCATTGTTATCTGCTTATATAAGAACTTTATTTGAATGAGAGTGTTTTCTGTTGGTGTTTTAGTCTTGCTCTGTTTACTGTTTTTGAGGGCAGACAAAGTGTGGCCCTTCTTTGTGCTGATCTATGGGGTGGATTGTTAGGCTGACGTGAGGATGGAATAGTTGGCAATGGAAGAAAGCAGCTGGGATGGTTGATGATGGAAAATCTGTTGCTAGTGGGAAAGCGGTGAAATGTGTGATTAATCACAGATGGACGACTGGGAATGCACACGTAATTAGGCCTACTCTTTCTCATTACTTCCAACCAGCCATCAGAGTTGTGTACGACCATTTTCAGTCTACTGATCACTCTAGTTATGTAATCTATGTGTTCAGAGACCTATGTTTATATTATATGTTGAGTCAAGCCATTACATCACATAAAAATACAATGCAAATCTTAGCAAGAACTGAGAAGTATCCTTTGACAGGGTTAATTTTCTTTCAAAATTCTGTCATGTCAAAATCATCAAGTTCTCATTAGTGTGAAACAAAAATGTGTAAAAGAAATATGTCAAATAAAGTATGCAACAATTGCACGAAAATATTACAGGACAAGGGAGAGCAATGTATTTCTGTGTCACATGTAAAACTGGTACTATTTTAATATAAAATGTAACATTTTTCCACTGATCTTATTACAAAAATATTATTCATTTGTTATTTTATTTAATTTTAAACACATTTTTTCTTGTTTATATTCATGTTTTGGTCAAGATGTTCTTTTAATTTATTCTCTACAGAATAATGACAAAAATGCTCAAGATATTTTAAGCTGTGGCATAACAATATTTTCTTGGAAGAGATAGTGGTAAATGCACTCTGGAAGATGACATAAACATGATATAGCTCCAACCCTTTGTTTTTTCAAAAATTATCAAAGTTTAATTTTTTGGACTAGTCTCTCACATTGTTAATATTTATATTAGCTGCAATTTATTCACATTATATTTTTGAGTACATGTGTTTTAAATAGTCATATACATTATCTCGAAAACTCAAAATTTTTCTCCGAAAACTAGATCAAATTTCCACATTTTCAGAAAAGCCCAAACACAATATTTTGAAAAACAGCTCTAATTTTTTCTTCAAACTCTTCAAAGTGCTAATTGCACTCTTCAATATGATGAAAGTTCGTTTTTGGTTTTGTTTGTTTGTTTTTTCCCAAAAACTACACAAATATAATTTTTTGAAAGCACATAAATATGCACATTTCCAGAGTTTAGTAAATGCTATTGAATATGCGAGTTAAAATGCTTCAAATTAAGTTTTTCAAAAACTCAAAACTTTTCTGTGAAAAAGAGCAATTAAAAACAGCTCAAATTTTTCAAAGAAAATTGCCATTATGACAAGGTTTTACCATTCTTTAATATCCTTAATATAACAATTCCGTTCTATTAGAAAACCGAAAAATTAAGAATTTTTTTTTTAATTTACTTGGGATGGTGACAGATGGCAGCAGGCAAGAGTACGTGGTAAGTTCTAATAGCCACTTGAGACAAAGGAAATATAAAACTAATATGGAAAGCCTGAGCAATTCTGTAGCACCACTAGTTTCTTCTTTCCTTTCTGAACACATCTTCACCTAACCTTACCACGTACCAAAGTTGATTCTTTCACTAAGCATTTCCCAAATGGGGGATTTTGCTCCTGACTTAGAAATTTATATAAAATGTAATGCATAATTTTTAATGCATTTTTATGCCAAAATGCATCCTATGAACACACAAGACTAAGATTGACAATCACCTTTCTTTATCATTTACCTTATCATTCTGTGGCAAATGCCAACATTAGCAGGATAATGTTTTAAATGATCTGTTCAGTGTCATTCATACAGATTTATACATACCATCTGGCAAAAGTGCAAATTAACCTGCTAATTTGTGAATTAGCAATATTTTGATCTTTAGCCAGACATGACATACAAGCAAATAAAAACCATTTTCAATACAAATATCTTCTTGAACATGTTAGGAAATAGATATATTGTAGGAAGAAATCTTGCTATAAAACACAATTGCAAATTGACGTATAGCGAATTGACTTAATGGTACCTCAAAATATAGTCATTTTATTACATCATGATAAACACATCATACATGCCAAACTTTATGAGCAAGCAATTACACAAGCTAATTACATTCATATTTTACTAAAAGAAGAGTTTTAAACAATTATTTTTACAATGTATATAAATGCAACCTTTTTTTTACAAAATAACCAAGGATTGTCTACTTTCCTTCACAAAAACTATACAGAAAATATTAAAATTCATTATAACTGAAAGACCTTCAATAAGGCATTTCAAATTCAAGTTTCTTACAAAAATGAGTTGCTATTTATAAAACTTAGGCAATATATTCACAGAAAATGGAGAGTGTAGAAATGGAAGGTATCTTCTAACTACTTCATTAAATTTGCCTTTCCATTCATCATCCTACACTTGATTTCCCTGATAAAGTATTTTAATCCACTTTTGAATCTCCATTTGCTTATTGTAATAAATATGACAAAGTTAATGAAACTTACTCAAAAGGTTACTCTCATTATTTACAAACATTCAATTTTACTGATTCTGAAGAATTAATTCATGATAATCAGGAATATTAAAACCTGTTTCCCTATTCACTTCACTTCCTAAAGATTTTTTTGAAGGCAAACCAACATCTGAATCAGATCCATCTGATTCATTGAACAGTAAATTCTTCTGCTGTTTTCTCTTAAAATCTCTAGCTCCATTCTGATGTCTAAAACGATGATGATGATAATCATCATGACTCCTATGGTACATCTCTTCCTCTTGTTCATCATCTTAAAGGGAAAAAAAAAAAAATGATTTAATTATCAACATTTGGTTATTGACATTCACATTAACCTTTTCTTCAACAATACTTCAGAAACTTCATTGAACATAACGTAATAATACACAAATACAGTAATTCCTCAACATTCACGACAGTTAGGTTCCCAAAAACCATCATGAATTTATTTTTTATTTATTTACGACAAAAACAGTTGAAAACTGTGTGACATGCTACGGGGAGCAGCGAATTTTGTGCACATTTTCACAATTCTGAGATCCCTATCCTAAGCCATATACTAGTTTAATTATGAATATAAAAAGAAATGAGTGTTCTTTACAAAGATTGTTAAAAATATATTTGTTCCATTGTAATAAAATCTATTTTCAAAGTAAAAAAAAGTCAGCTATATATTTCGGATCTTATCCCACATCATGTCCGTGAAGAAATAATACTTCCTGCCGTGACTTGGAGAACCATAATATGAATACCTATATTTCCCACCAAATTCTAGAAGACATGCACGGATAACGACATGACAAGTGAGCTGACAACACATCGTGAACTCGTATCTAACGCAATCTTCTGCCAAAAACCCATCCCTTTCATCTTCCCTAATTTCTCTAATCTTCCACTCCTAATTTCAATCCCTCTTACCTCCTTCTCTGAACCAATTCCTGATTTTCCCACTCTCAGTACATCATCTCTCCACTTGATGCCTCAATATCCTCACAAGCTATCACAGCTAGGTCATGTTACCATCTTCCACCACGCACTCAGGGTAAAAGTAGAGTAAATAATATCAAGCAACTGTTGTCAGATGCAGCACAAAAATTATTTTTAAATACTCACAAAAGATTCACACGCTGCACCATAATGTTCTAACTATTCCAAATAAGATTGAATTTATTGAGGCTATTCAAAAAAGGGATTTAAACCAAACAGATGTTCTTTGCAGAACCGAACTGGTTACCTCACTAAGAAATTAACATTTTCCAAATTCATAACTTCTGCATTACAATTGTTTATGCCATGGAATCAAATACAGCTCTTGCATATAGATGTTTCTGAAATTATGTGAGAAATAATACTGATTTTATCTCCTTACTGGAATCAAATGTGTCAAAACCTTCACATTGAATTTGTTGAATTGCTCTTGATTGGTTATGTTCAAATCTCAAACAATGATCTCGCATAGTAAAAATACTGAACTGAAATGAAGGGACGTTCTTTACTCCCCTTTCTGATTCATTGCCAAATACACTGGGGTCCCACAATTTGGGTCCTGTTCTCTTCCTGCAATAGCTAAACAATTTACCCTAATCAATTCAAAATGGAAGACCACTTCTCTTTGACAATAATTCAAATATTCTTTAAATAAAAAAAAACAGTAAATTCCAGATTCAAATTAGTTTTGTGATAATAAATTAAAAGTAAACAAAGTGTCAAAAGAAATATAGTGTCAATATAATTTTCCATTTTAAATAAACAATTGTACACTCCACTGAAAATGAACGAGGTGCAATTAACTTTTAGTAAGGTTAACTAACCAACATTTTTGAGACCCGATTCAGACGTGTCTCAAATGGAACGGCTATTTCAATGAATCTAACATAAAATTATGTTTATTATGCTACACATTCAGAAATCTTTCAAATTATGAATATTAATTTCTTTCTGAGATACAGCACAATTCTAGAGAAACATATCTTATAGCTCCCACTTTTGCATTACAGAAAAGAATTGTACAAATAATAAGAAAATTCCACTCGCGTGACTTTTATATACTTCTCTTTATTAAGCTAGAAATTCTACCATTGCCTGGCCCATTTATCCCAAGATATCTACAGTAAAACTGCTAAAATAAAATTGCAAATCTATAGTAAAACACATAACTGAAATTGAATTTTATGAGCTAAACAAAAGCTCAATATTTTTAAATTGGTACACTCCACTCTTGGACCTGCTTGCAGGAACTCCTACCAATGCTACTTAGTCCAAGTACAGTAAAAATAGTATGAGACTTAGAGGAGATAAGTAACATCTGTTTGCAAGTTTTCTTGAGCTCCAAAATCTTGACCCATCATTTTAACCATAAATCGTCGAATGATGAGTAAAAGCTTCAAAAAGAAGAAGCAATGTAGGCAACGTTTGAAATCTAGACATTTTTTGCTCCCAATTAATAGAAAAAGTTACTGCTAAAAAAATCAGTAACACACCACAAGCTCCACTCCTACCACTAATAGCAAAAGGTGAGCTCAACAAAATGTGTGCATAGTAAGGCTACTTTTACGTTCAGAAGCAAAACATGGGGCCACCTCAGAATTTGCACAATGGATCAAAGAAAGTGGACAAATACCCGATCGTGAAGGAAGCTGGAATATATTACTTATTACTTACAAGAAACGCAGGTCTGGCATATGCACATCCAGTGGAGAAGATATTCGCTTTATGCAGCTCGTCCTTTAATGTCATTATGGATATTTGATTTCCTCAAGATTTAATATTTCCTTTAAGGCCTGTGTCACATAACAGTTGCATTGACATGCATCATATAATGTCTGCGCACGAGTCACATAACACGCTTCATAGATTAACACTTTAGGCGGCATGACGCCTTTATCACACGTTATTATGATTAGTGTTGTAGCTTGGGCATCTTGCTTGAGTTATGAGCACAACACACATCACCAAGAACGCTCGTTTGGCATATGGTGCAGTATTAATCTACGATGCACATTACGTGTACTGTTTGAGCAGGCATCAATGAAGCTGATGGCATCAGTGTTAGGTTATGCAAGTCAAAACAACACTCATGCCACAAAATCCTAAATACACCAAATTTTTATCGACAAATCAGGGGCACCCAGAGAAAACCAGGGGCATGGGGCAGTTGATTCAAGGAGGTCCCTTATTTCTATCAAAAAATTCCCTCTTCCTATAACTCATGAACAGAAATCACTTCTCCATGCACCAGAAAGAACTCAGAAAATAGAGATGAATACATTTTTCTTTTTCATTAAAAAATTTAATCAGGGCCTGGGGCATGTTGCCCAAGCTGCCCCCCCTCCCTTCATCACTGTGTGCAATGTAAGTGAAAATAATTTTAAGACCAAATGAAACAGACATTTATTAACATACTTATACTACAAGATGTTTTGACCATAAGGATTGGAGTATTTTTCAAAAAATCATAACAATGAGAGAATATTAATAGATGAGATAATTCTCATAATTCTGGTTTGGCCTAAGCAAGTTAAACAATATAATAGTGTATGTGTCTGTGATGGCTTAAAATAATTTTAAGGTCAAATGTACATTTGTACAAATTTATATTTGGCCATAAAATTATTTTAACACATCACAGACAAATATACTATTATAACATTGTGCAAAACCGCACCGGTCAACACTAGCACGTCCTATCATTTCATTCACTACTTCTGTCCAAAATGGAGAATTCAATCCAGTTGAAATGTCCAGATGAAATTAAACAACCTGAATACTGATTTCAACACAAATATTCCTTGGGCTCCTCTACAATAACATTAACTTTCTCACTTATTGGTCACCTACGACTTATCATTTAGATGTTATAGTCTTATTGCACTCTTTATGGGACTTTCTGAAATAATTTAGCATGGTAAGAATAGGAATTTATTTAGGACTGCCAAAAAGAAATGTGAAAAACATATAAACAGAGTTTCACTGTATAACAATAGCGCAATTTCAATGCTATTTTGTATTTATACAAGCAATCACATGCACCATTGAAAATGAAAAATATGCAATTGTTGATGTTAAGATAATAAAATGTCTCAATCTCTCAAATCAAACCTAAAGTGGAATATCCATATAAATGAATAGAATGCTAAATTTGGTTTATTAAATAATGCAATTAGAATTATTTCTAATTCAGTCAGCCTTCATGCATTTACTTTGCATATGTAAATCTGTACACAAAATACTGTACATTTCACTTGCTTTTTAATGCAAAATTACTTTTATAAAGGCTTTTCCAAGGCAAGGACAAGCCTTGGGCCTTTGCCCGTCCCAATTAACATGAAACATGTTAATGCAATGTTTAATTACCAACACATTTTGAGCAATTAAGACTTTCAATACAAAATAAATACATTGGATGGTAAATATGGATATTATTTATTAGCAAACTTTGTCACTTCAGAAATCCGATTACCTCTATCTGTTTACTGTTTGCATTTCACTACAATTATACCATCCAAAATATTCATAACACTACAACATGTAAAACACAGTACGCGACAGATACAACTGTACCACACTACCCCTCACCATTGAAAGCTTCCCCCATATCACAACTTCCCCTTACCCCTTCATCTTGGATTTCTCCATCGTCTGAGAAGCATGAATTGCCAGAACTTCTGTAAGTAGCACTTTATTTTCTACACTACCACTCCAATCAAGAAATATTATTTTCTGGATTCATTGGAGGACACATTACATTGATAAGTAATTGTGCACTGAAATCTGTCTAAATCTTAAACAATGAAATAGTGTCATTAAACCCTCACAATAACTGAAGAGAGAACAGGTATTAACTGCACACTTCAGAATTCCAATAGAACAGAACAGAATTGAAAAACTAACTTATTTAAAATTTTGTTTACCTGAACCAACAACTTCAAACATTTCTTTGTGTTCTTTGAGCACCACATACATCAAAGGAAATTCTATAATAGTTTTATTTTTCAAAGCTGACTTCAAAGTCATTGATGTGTCTATTTCAAAGAACTTTACAGATGATTTCATCACATGTTCTGCTTTTAACAGAAGACATACTTCTGAAAGTCCTGCTGATTGATAAAACTGAAGGTTGTCTTGTAACTCTTTCGGACAATTCTTACAGTCGAGGTATTTATTAAGAAGAGCAGAAATCCGTGTATCTTCTAATGCCCTGTTGAAAAAAGATATGAGATAGATTGTTCACATAAGCATTGTAAATAAATAGGAAAAAGAGTGTGTTACACCTTTCATCAATTGCTTTTATGAATTCTGCTTGAGGGAAAACCCATTCAATGCGCCAAGATATCTTCTGTGTCTTCCAATCAAAATAAGTTGTATTACTCTTATGCCGTGCAAAATGTTGAGGCAAAAATAATATTCTTGCTCCTCTGCATGTCACTGCATCTCTAAGCCTGCCCAAATGCTATAAATTGAAAAAGTTATAATTTAATTGGTTAAAGTAGAGAACAGAGTACACTCTAGTGGGGGAGAGGAGAAGGGGGTGGAGAGGGAAGAGGTTGGAGAGAGAGCAGGGAAGGGGAGGAATTAGAACGAGTACCTCCTTATGTTAGGAAAAGTGCATGGAAATAAATGAATAAACTTTACCCAAGTGTGATTTCTTTGTGTTTCATACTAGTTGGAGACACCCTCACAGAAAGGCAAGAACCTTTCATAATTATTTTGCTTCTGGCAAACCACATACCTTTGTACACATAAACCCTGATGCAATCAATCCCTAGTTTTGAATCTTAATCGCAGCCAAAAGCCCCTTTTGGCATCACATAAATGCCATCATAACACAATCACTCAAAGATCACAAATAACCAGAGAATAAACTTAACAGACCAACAGCCAATTTGCTAATCACTTTGACACATACCCCAACCTACACAAAAAATCTAAATAAAACTTGAAAATTACCATTATACAACTTTTGCTTCAACAGACGGAATAGTTATGGTACTCCAAGGTACTAAGACATGAAATTACTTACTGAAAAAAGTAACCAAATTGAAAATTATTTTTGTAGCTAAATTTTTTAAATGTATAATGCATTGCTTTTTATAATTACACATTATGTTATGCACTTTGCTTACTACCCACCTTCCCCCTAAACCCCTAACTATTCCTCTTACTCACCACCATGGATTCCCCCACACCTGAACAGCACAAAGAGCCAGATAGAACAACTTCCTTAAGTTGTACTGTGTTCTCTACTTCAGCCATTTCATTGACAAAACATATGTAATATTTAATTTCCATTTTTCTCCATTCAATCCATACTTACTACAGGCAGTTTTCTATTCCATCTTGTAAAATGCTTCATAGTATCACGCTTATAATTTTCAACAGATCGAGTTGTTTCTTCTAACATTCTGTAATCTGTCACAAGTGCATGAGATAAAAGTTGCTTGTTTCATGATATTTATGACACAAGTAATGAATACAAACCACTCAAAAGATCCAAATTTGTGAACTCTGATAACCGCTTAAATGCAGTTTTGTCTCGTTCCCCTGAACAATTGATTTCACTTTTATGTTTTTTCACACAAGATAAACTGCACGACTTAATCTCACACCGTGGACATGTGTACTTTGCTGGGCACTCACCACATTCTTCACAAGTTCCTAGCCTAAGTAATAAAAAATGTTGTATTACTTCCAATGAGTCAACATCCCTACTTATCAATCAATAGTAACTCTGAGGTTTACCGCTACACTCACTGATATTGGTCACCTGACTGAGTAGTTAACATCAAACATACCTATTTTCAAACTCGATTGGATCACTATTTTCAATTCTCAAAGTAACTTCAGAAGTATCTTCTAACCTATATTATGCAAAAGATTTAGCATTATTTCCAATTTGTTGATGTTCAGACTTGCAAACTTATCATACATACCTGTTTTCACAATCCGCTGAATCTATATTTTCAATTTTCACAATATCAGCTGAAGTATCCTCGAACCTATAATGTAAAAGATTTAACATTACTTCGAACTTTTAGGCATTGTGATTTGTTAATGATTGATATCATTCCAGTTTTCATGCGCTGGTGGTTCAGCATTTTCAATTTTAACAATGAATTCGGAAGTATCTCCTAATCTATAAACTGAAAATGATGAAACTTTACCACCAATTTGTTGGCATTCAGACTTACTAAATTATGTCAAACTTACATATTTTCACTAGCTGGTGGATCTGTATTTTCAGGTTTCACGAGTTCGACAGTATCTTCCATGATTTGTTTATGAATGGTGGTTTGGTTTGTGAACGTAAACTAAGATCTCAGGTTCCTCAACACTTCTCAGTCATGAAACACGACCGTAAATAACAGGACATCATAACCATACCCACGCCCAGCCCATTCCCTCCGCAACACCACGCAACACTGCAAAAAAGGAAACACCACGAAACACGTGCTGTTTGTGATCGGGCCCGGGCTACATCGGATCGGACGCACCGAATACTTGAAAATCAGTGTTACCACCATGATGCACGGATATACCCAGATGTGGATACATTTTCTTGTTAAGTGAAAGTAATCGATTTTCGAAAAAAATATTAATCATTTTGGCGCGACCCAATACCTCCTACCTTGATTACATATAAAAAAAAAGTATTAAGAAAAGTAGTAGTGAAGTGTTCACCATTTCACCAAAACCCTCCTTTTCCTTGAAGGAATTAAATGTGTATTCCGTTGAAAATGTTTTTGAAATATCTGTAGTACATCATCTATGCTAAAAAACAGATATTACTTTGCATCTACAGACCTCCAACAAAAAGAGAGCAGCAGATTATATTATGTTCTTAAAAAACTGGAGATAACACTAAACAATGTCACCAATCGCTCTTTTGAATCCATTGTTATAAGGGGAGATTTTAACATTGATTTTCTGGTCGAATCTTGCGAGAGAGAGAGCAGTTTCTCAATTTAATTAATTCCTGCAGTTTAGATATTACAATAAATGTACTTACACGGATCACACTAAATTGAAAGAAGGCAATCGATCAAATAATAAACAAAAAGACTACTCAATATGAAATTGAATCAAAAGATTTAGGATACAGCGATCACGATGCACCATTATAAGAAATGCGATCACTGAGACAATTAATAATACACGTATGAGTAGATTATTTACTGAAAGTAAAATAAAATTATTCATCAATTACTTGCTGCAAGTCATGGGACGCAATTTACAATCCTGTTAATACAAACGATAAATACAATTTTGTTATGTTTTTTTTTAAACGCTTTCATTTCACTTTAAAACTTGCTTTCCTCTTCAAAAGAGGAAATTAAATATTTCACGGAAAAAGCAATTCTTGGATAACACAATGGGCATCATGGGCATCATGTAAAAACAAACGAATTCTTTCTTTCATTTCTAACCATCTCAACGTAACTCAAGGTTTCCTTTTCTTTAAAAAAAAATGCAAATCATTGTTAAGAAAAGTCATATGGCAGGCTAAAATCATGAAACATGGCCAGGATATTTTGAACACAAATAATGAAACAAAATAAATGTCGAATATAGTAAAAAATTCGACCAAATCAACTGGAAACCTTGTAAATAATGTAGTTTCTTTAACCAATCCTTTTTGGGAATTGCTGCCGATCTCACTAAGGATCGTCAGCCACAAATTTCAGCATCAAACGTTTCCCCAAAAATTTCAGGCACGATGTTTGTTTCCGAAACGTCTTCCTATGACATTCTCAAAATAATCTGTAGACTAAAAAATAAATATTCGGCCGGTTTAGATGAATTTCTGGATTGTTTGTTAAAGGTTCGTGCGCCTGCCATTATACACCCGTTAACACGTATTTAATGTATCGTTATGCACAGGAATTTTTCCAGATATTTTTAAAACAGATAAGATTAATCCGCTCTTCCAAAATGGAAACAAAAATGAAATTCATAATTATCGAGCAATTTCTCTTTTGTTGGTTTTTCAAAAATATTAGAGACTTTTTTACGTTCGAATGGAAACATTTCTTAGTAAATACGGCGCGTTTTCAGATTGGATTTCGAAAAACAAAATCTACGGAAGCAGCTATATTTTCTTTTCTTAAAGATGTCGCGTCATCCATGGATCAAAACAAAGCACCTATTGGAATATTTTTAGATCTTTCAAAAGCCTTTGACGTCATTGTTCATAACATTTTACTCTCACAATTACCTTCATATGGAATTCGTGGTGTTGCTCTAGATTGGCTATGTTCGTACCTTAAACAACGATCTCAGAGAGTAGAAATTCCCTACTGGAATAATGGAACATTCTTCCTATACACCTTTCTGTTTTTTTGCCAATTGCATGTGGAGTCCTCCAGGGATCGATTTTAGGTCCTATTCTCTTCCTACGTATACGCTACGTAAACGATATACCCTTGAGGATTAGAAACGGAAGTAGAGTTCTGTTTGATGGCGATACGAATATTCTTCGCAATAAAGAAACCGTAAATAGTACAATATCAGATATTACAAATTGTTTTTATAATAAATTAACAGTAAATGAAAAGAAACAGTTTCATTGCAGTTCTCCATTTCAAATAAACAGCTCGACACTTCACTGAAAAAGAACGGCGACTGATGGTAAGGTAACACAATTCTTAGGTCTTTCAAATCAGTCAAACCTTGAATGGAACGTCCATTTAAATTAATTGAACACTAAATTAAGTTCTTAATGCTGCGCTTTCGGAATTCTTTCAAATTCAATCAGCCCCCACACTGCTCGTTGTGTATATTTCGCGAAAGTTTATTCCGACCTGAGATGTGGCATTATATTGTGGGGAAATACATCTTATTGCTCCCCGACTTTTAGATTAAAAAAACGAATTGTACGAATAATAAGAAAATACCTCCCACGTGATTCTTGTAAGCATCTCTTTATAAATCTAGGTGTTTTCCCGTTACATTGTCTCTTGATATATGAATCAATCGTTTTTGTCAAAAATGACTTAGTTAAGGGCGGCGGGAATACATTTTCAGCAAACAGCGTTGTCTATAACTACAACACTCGACGTAGTAATCATATTCATCAGGTGACAGTATCAACAGCTCACTACAAAAAATTCACGTAATACACGTACATTATTTTACAACACCTTGCCAGATGACATTAAAGGATTAAATTCGATACAAAAGTTTAAGTCACAAATAAATTTTTTTCTGCTGCACAACTGTTTCTATACAATTCGAAACTATATCGAGCATCCAAAAGGAAAGTAATATTAATTTTAACAATGACATTTAATGTATTTTATACCTTTGGATTGGATTGTAAAGAACCTGTAACAAGTATTGTACTTCAGCTTCTGAGTCAATGACCCCATCTCGATCAGGTTTTCCCTGCTCCTCGAGCAAATGCTGATATGACCCCTTGTTTTGCTTCTGGACATAAATGTAACTTCAAATTAACTTCTCTCCATAGCACGATACACACACTTTTTAACTGCTTTTGACGTAAATAAATAAATAAATAAATAAATAAATAAATAAATAAATAAATAAATAAATAAAATAAATAAATAAAAGATTGCTAGTTTTCAGGCATTTTACAGAATTGGAAACTATTTTCAATCTCACAACACAAAAGCACTCACTCAGTTTGTCTACGTCACGTTCCATAGTAGCATTACATTTTTTTAAAACTCTTTTACCGCGTGAATACAGAGTAGCCAAGAACGTAAAAGTGAAATTATGAAAATACAGCCATCTTTAACATGATGGATTAAGGAACAATTTCTTCTATCAAGTGAAAAGTGGCCAGGGGAGGTGGCTGCGATAGATGCGCTGAACGTCTAAGACCAGAGGCAAGCATCAGATGGAATGCACTTCTCCTTTACATTAATAATTCAGAAGGTTTTGATGTTTATACGTGATGTATTTCAATTCTGTATCAGGAAAGAATTATTTTAGAAGGCTGAGTCATCATATTAATATTGCCAACACATCATCCGTTAGTAGAAAAAATGAAATACAAGGTTGGAATCACTGTACGTTTAGCTAAAACCCTAAAATGTGTATTACTCCATAAAAAAATGATCACACAAATTTCATTGATGGTGAATCTTCAAGTTTTTTAAATCACTCTAAAATTAAACATCATAGAAAGATAATGAATTCCCATTGTTAAAATTGTTTTATTTCTTCTGGAAAAATTCTTATACGTACAATTTGTCTAAGAAAGATCAATTAATCTACTTTTGCCTTCAAGAATAATCTGTTTGAGAGCGACAAAAATAAATTTGTTTGGGAATCACAAATCTTTTTTCTTACCATGGCGATGTGAGAATCAACTCAAATGCCGCTATCTTATATCGTAATAGGTCACAACACTTCCCTCAACAATTATTCTCAGGACAAATGACGGTTTTGTTCCATCATTCAACATACCATCGTTACACAAAACTCCTTAGTGTGCTACTGCTGGAGAGGGTCTTCAGAGACCGTAGGCTTCCGCGGCCGGAGTATTTACTTGGCTGTCCGGGTGACGCCCTGAGGAAGGTCGCAGAATGGCGACCGAAACGTCGGCACCTTTGCAATGGACAATGGTCAAACTGACAGCCAATTAAATAATAATAGGAAATGTCTTCTCCCACACCCTCCCCTACCCCACCTAAGACCTGTGATCATCATATTTAAGACGAAAAAAATAGAACTTCGCAAATTATGATATAGGGGGATACCAGCTGGTTCTTATGCAACCCGCAACACTTATTATATTTTATGTAACTTAAGAATCGTCGTATCAAATCACTTCGTACGCGTCCTAATATGTCAATAAAATCATTCACTCCTCCATAACGGGTTCTGGCTTTCTTGTGGCGTAACATGAAAAACGAGACCTTTTTGACCTTTATATTACATTTTTTAAGGAGCACCTCACTCTGTAGTAGATGTCCGAAAAGTGGAGTTCCAGAAAGAAACTTGTTGCTTTGACGAAAAAGTTGAATGCAGATAATTTCCTATTCAATTCAACAATATTTATAAAGCACGTATGGTGTGTACGAGTGCTGCTAGTGCTATTTATTCCACAAGATGACACCATGGAATGCCTGAAGATGAGAAGCGCGTGGTGCCAGATGTCCTGGGAAGGAATCCACAAGGACACCGGGAGTCTGTGGCAAGCGGTTTCTGGAGCCATCTAAAGCCAGCAGCGCCCAAAACCCAAATTCAACCAAATTATATGCAAACTTTTAGTTAATGTGAGGCTAATTAAATGCTCTATTCGCAAATTTTAAGCTCCATTAGACTTCTCAAAATCATGGGTGCTGCTACCTTTAAGCAAAATCTAGCAGCGCCCACCGAGAAAATCTATTTTAAATCAATTAAAAATTCTAAAACCCTTCCCAAAATGTAGGGATAATTTGAGGCTATAGCAAAAAAATTCTCACATTTTTATCAGGACTGTAAGAAGAGAAACAATTAACATTGGTTCTTATGAGCAAATACACACCAAAATGAAAAAACCTTAGAAAAATCCTTAAACCCTACTCAAAATT